CCGGGAGGGCGGGACACTGGGGGGGGGGGACAGCGGGTTCGGCCGATCCCCTTCACCACGCATGCACACACGACAATCACCCTCTCTCTGTGAGCGAGGGGGGGCTAAATCTGTTAGTCTATACAACACAGTCACGGAATAAGCGCTGTCAAACTGATCCGTCAAGTGTGTGTGTGTGTGTGTACTTGTGTGAGAGTGATGATGGGCAAGAGCAGGAGGGAACGCAGCTTAAAACAGCATGCTCTGCCGTCTGTTCTTGCTGTTGCCTGTGAGGAGAGAGACAGAAGGATGAGAGTGAAAAGGAGGAGAGAACAAGGTGTACAAGGTTACAAAATTATTTTAAAATATATTTTATAAAGAACAATTTAAAATATTCGGTTAAGAAATATATTATTCGTTTTATATAGAGGTGAGAACATGGTGTACAAGCTGACAAAATAATGCAATTTTTTTATTTATATTACATTAAATTTTATTTATAAATATTTAATTATATAAAACTATATTTAGTATTTTGTATAACTAATCTATTAATAGATAACAGAACAAGGGGTAAGAGGTTACAAAATAATGCAAAAAATGTAATCTAATTAAAAATATTTTATTTACTGTTATAATGTATAAAATATATTTTAGGATATATATTTATTTTGTTAAAAAAAAAAATAAATGTAATCACATATTTCATTTCAAATATATATTTAGTTATAAATATTTATCAGTTATTAGAAGCGAGAACAAGGTGTGCATGTAGTCTATATTAATAGATAAGATAAAAATAATTAAATTTAAAATAATTTAAAATGTTATAATGTATAAAATATATTTTAGGATATATATTTATTTTTGTTATAAATGTAAATAATAAATGCAATAAAATATTTATTCATAAAATATATTCATTATATATAATTTATTTAAAGAAATATAAATAGTATAAATATTTAAAACATATTTAAATTTTTTTAAATAATTTTGAGAGAAAATAAGAGACTTATTGAGAGAATTTTGAGACTTATTTTACATAATATTTATTTCTTAATTAATTCTTTAAAAATAGACAATTTTCTAAATACTGTCACATTAATCAACCTTTTCAACAGCTATAGGTCTGTATAAAGATTGCCCCCTAGTGTCTGTTCCAAGAACTACTGAAGCTGACCCATACTGACTGACTACTATATGAGCATCTGAATATGAATACAGATCACATATCAAACAAACACACACCTGTCTCTGGGTACGAGGAGTTCCTGTAACCGGGGTCCCTCTGAAGCTGCACTTCCTTCAGTGTAAATATGGATATGTCTGCAGAAGCACAGCACATCATGAGATTGAGGACATATGAGCGATTATGTGATGTGTGTGTGTGTGTGTGTGTGTGTGTGTGTATAAAGACACTCACTCTCTGACAGTGTGTTCACACGCATGCCCAGACTCTTGAAGTAGGAGTGTTTCATTGATTCATCTGCAGAGATCCTCTTCTTGGATTCATACTATGGAGAAAAAATAAAAAATAAAGGATGAAATCTTTGTGAGATTGATAAGGGGTAGTTTAATTTATCATGATGCTTTTAAAGGGTTAATGGAAAATAAAAGTGTTCAAGATGAAGTAATGGAAAATCATTTATAATCTTATAATTGTTTGTGTGTATTTAATGCAATCCATTGTTCTGGCACATTCTTACCCTTAGAAAGGACAATAACAGCTCTATTCCTTCAGTATCCAACCTGTAGATGGGAAGGGAGGGAGGGAGAGAGATGTGACCATCGGCAGGTTGACAAATTAGACTGGCAAACGTAAGGAAGGAAGCAAACGGCCTCAGAAATTCCACGGGATATCCTGCTTTACTGGCACGTACATGGCTTTCTAACACACACCAGAACACACACACATGCTTTCCCACAGCAGCATCCGTGCACACACACACACACACACACACACAGGCTTTGAGGTCATGGTCATTTGCTCTGTGTGGCAAGACAAACACACGGAAGCCACCGCAAAATCACAGAGCAAACAAGCTCATAACAAACACACTGTATGAAACAGCAAAGCAGCACCTGCACAGACACACAGACACGAGTGCAGGTACCTGGGTGCATGATTGATGAAGGGCTGAGGCTTGTATTTGGGGAAGTTGTAGGATTTGAACTCTTCGATGGACGAGATGCCGGGCCAGTTGTCCTCTGTAGGTGTACCTGTTTCACACAAAGCCAAAACATCCATTAAACACTTTACTTTAGAGCCTGTCTTCATTTAGCACATAGCTAACACTTTCTAAACAGAGCTGATATTTATGTTTATGCTATGAACTGATATTGTGTCCAATTTTATAAATACAAAATGTTTTTTTAAGTATCCACAATATCGATTAAAGAGCATTGTTAAAATATGATTTAAATTCATGCATTTAGCAGATGCCTTTATTTAAAGCAACTTGCACTGCATTCAATGTATTTTTTTTAATCAGTTCATGCTTTCCCTGGGAATCAAAACCATGACCTTGGCACTGCTAGAACCATGTGGTACTGTTTGAGCTACAGTTAAAAAATATATAGTTTGAATATAGCTTAAAAAATAGTTTAAAACCTCCTGTCCAGGTCTTTTTTCAGAGAGTTTAAAATAGTTCAAACATAGTTAATAATAAATAGTATTTTAGTATATTAAAAACTATTTTAATAATAATACTAAAATAGTTTAAAACCTCCTTTCCAGGTTCTTTTCCACACTCCAGGATGCACAGTTAAACACATCAGGTGAGTGTCAGCCAGACAGGATTTCAGCTGAACTGTGGTAACCTACTGTACCATGTGATCTCACAGTTTCCATGCAAAAGCGTGTGTTTGTGTGTGTGTGTGTGGACAGCAATCATGGCAGCTCAGATGGTTGCAGTTTGTTTTTTAAAGCAGGTGAGAAGCACTTCTGAGTCTGAACACCATGACACGTCTGGTCTGAGTGTGTGTGTGTGTGTGTGTGTGTGTGTGTGTATTTGTGTTTAATGTCGTAATGTCTGGAGTTGAAGTGTGCATTTCATCATGCAGGCTCTGAATTGAATCATTTAGTTGGAGAGCTGGGTGTGAGCATGTGGGTGTGTGTGTGGGTGTGTGTGTGTGTTTGCTCACCCAGTAATCTGAAGATTAGATGCAGCTCATCTTCAACGGTGGATCCTGGGAACAGCGGCCGACCTGCAGCCATTTCATAAAATATACATCCAACACCCCTGAGACAGAGAGAGGATAAGACAGAGCATACAGGAGAGGACTGAATGTAAATGATGAATGTAAATAAACAGCGACAGACACACTCACCACATATCGATCTGTGTGGAGTACTCCGAGGATCCCAGTAGTACATCAGGAGGTCTGTACCATAAGGTCACCACCTCATTAGAGTAAGTCTTAGTGGGAACAGACTTGGCTCGTGCCAGACCTACAAACACACACAAACAAAAAACTTAAAATATAAATTATATATATTGAATAAATCATATACATTTTTATGTGCAGCAAAAAATAAATGAATAATATATTTTTAATGAAAAAGAAATTACATACAATATAAAATAAAATGTATATTTTGAATATAAAATATTATAATATTAAAATAAAGTATATAAAATATATATTAAAATTTGTATGCATTTGAATTACACTTACTGTTTATATGTAGAATAAAATCAAAGTAAATTAATTTGTAAATTAATAAATTCATAATACAATGTATTTGTATTGTAAAATAAATTACATCAAATAAAATTTATATTTTAAATATATAAATATCATAATATTAAAATATAACTTTTTATATATGTATTTTTAAATTATATTCATATTGAAATGTATAATAGTTAGTTTATACTTTTCTAATTGATGAAAATTAATGAATTATATGAACTAATGAAACAAAGTACATAATATATACATTTGTAAATACATAAACGCATAATATATTATAATATATTTTTAATGAAAACTTAGTTAAATATATAAAATTAAATAAAAAATATATACAAGTATATAAATATAATATAAAAATATGTATAACAAATTGCAAAATGCAGTTAGTATAATATACATTTCTAACTGATGAAAAATGAAGTACATGCTATATAAAATATATTACACTACATATTTTATCATTTATTTGACAGCATAGTGTTAAACATACCAAAGTCGGCCAGTTTGAGTTCACCCCTTTCATTGATGAGCAGGTTCTGCGGTTTCAGGTCCCGGTGCAGAACCTTTCGTTTGTGGCAGTACGCCAGTCCTCTCAAGATCTGGAACAGGAAAAT